TTTACAGTATGATTTAAAGAAACGGGTACAGCATTGCTATATGATTTATATATTGCCAACCCAACCGTTAAGATTATATTCCTAACAGACGTTTTCCACATCAAGAGTCTAATATACAATTCAGTCTTGGAGACCTGAATGTGGAAGGAATTAAATCTCCCCCTCCACCTCCTATGACAGCCCTACCAATGCTAGGAGGAGAGAGCAGATTATGTGATAGTACTACACATGTCAATTATCATTGACACAGGTAATCCTTGACTTACGACCATTTTATTAAAGACCGTTCAAAGTTACAATGGCCTTGGAAAAAGTAACTTACAACCTGTGCTTCCATTTACAGGTGTAAAATGACTCTCATTATGACCAGTTGCAGTGTCCTGCAGCTACGTGCTTACGATTATGTCCAACAAAAAATACACATTGAGCTGGATTCACTGAATGACCAGTGTAAAAACTATTGTAAATGCAGGCCTGAAGCAACTTGTGACTGCAACGACTTGTGGAAAATCCCAATCCCAATTGTGGTTATAAAACTGCTTGTACAATGTATTAACGTCATCTTCTTTTAACGACCTCATACTCCCTTGTGGGGTGGAGTCTGGGAAACTGAATGGAGCTAGCAGAGTGTTTTAATGGCCGGATGCCATTCCTGTCGCCAAGGTGGAGTTTTGTTCAGCAGATACATTCTTAGTGTGCCCAGAGAAAGAGAGAAATCGAACTCACAGCCTCCCAATTGTGAGACGAGAACTCGACCTCTAGGCCACCAGACCACTCCCAGTGTATTTAAGTCAACCAACCACTTATATACTAGCCCTCTGTGAAATATTCTTCATATAACTCCATGCTGCAGAAAAGTCAAGACAGCAACTGAAATCAATTTGATGTCATAGTTGCCAAGGCTACGTTAAACTAATGCATTTTATAGAATGAGCAATTAAGGCACATAGGGAATAAAAGTTGTCAAGTCTGCAAATGGTGTGACTGACTCAGTTTCCTCTAACTGAGGAAACTGATAACATAAAATACTGATCTTTCTCTAAGTGATAAATCTTATTGTGAATATCTGCTGCTCAAAATGTGTCATGTACTTACAGGTGATTGAACAGCTGAATCAAGAGGGTTAACAACTGTGGCTCTAGTTGAGGGCACTGGAGACTCTTTAACTAGGAGAAAGACATTTGAAAATTCTTTTACTACAGGTACAAACACTTGCAAAGGTAAATCCATCAACAGTGGAAATCTCTTTATCTCTTTCAGAGATAACGTTCCATATCATTTCTGTTGTACAGACAAGAAGCAAAATGCTGGCTTTCTACTTGGAAAGCAACTGACAAACTGCCTGTAATGCATGACTATCAAGAACAGATATATACCAGTATGCTGAATGAAAAAAAATAAACTTGAATTCAATTTAGAATTAAATTGAATTCAAGTTTATTCAGGTTTATGAATGCAAAATTAAATAAAATAGCTTCATTTTTAAAAAGTAATCAAGGGCAACCAAGATTCAAAATCCTACATTTTCATGTGGGATCTTCGACAAGATATTGTACATTTACCAGATTCCAGGCTTTAAAAAACAAACATTCCTTCGCCTACATTTTTTGGAACATATTAAAAATACATGGCACATATGCTTAATAATATTAAGTATTGCAAACAGTTTAAATTGTAAATTTAGATGTCAGTGACTTAATTAAAACTTGGAATATTTATAGCCCAACTTTATTCAAAATATAAACTAAATATATGGAAACAAATAATTGATCTGACGTGCAACAAATCTCCACCATTGTTTTTTTTAAATGCAGTTTTAAAAACATAGTTATTTGTAACTCAAATATCTAAACTTCATTCATACAGCATAATTTCATATACTGCATATGTATCGAAAGTTAAAAATGGCAAAAAAGTAATATCTACATTCAATCCAAATTAAATATTATTTCCAATTGAGAAGAAAATCAAAAGAAACCTAACATTGTAATTTTCTAAAAAAAATCCATAAGGTATAAGAATAAGGGAAGACTGAATAAAATTATTACACTAAAAATTAAACAGTTCCGGTTGAGAGATCTCAAAATATAGATCATCTGGTTAAAGAAAAGGCAAATTAAAAGAGTCTTATGGCTATTTGATTGGCCCAGGTTGTCCTCACCTATATTAGGAGCAGATATGCTTATTTGTATCTTAAAAAACTCATTTGATCACAGTTTTGCTTCATAAACCAATGCATGAACAAATATTTATACCTGCATACATGCTGAAAAATTGGAAACTGTTCTATTTTCCCTAGCTTCCAATTTCATCTGAACTTCAAATATGGTGGGATGAGACCCACAAATGGAACATACAGCTAGAAGGATTTAAATTATTTAAAAGTAATAGACCAAATAAAAGAGGAGGTGGAGTTGCACTATATAAGAAATAACTACCAGCATGAACTCTCTGACAAATTGAAAGACAAAAAAGTTAAGTATAAAAAGGTTAAAGAGGGGGACATAACTAAGGCAGAACATCAGCAAATAGCCCGAGCCTGTAAAGATGAAGTACGGAAAGGTAAGGCTCACAATGAAGAAAGGCTTGCCACAAAAGTAAAAAATAACAAAAAAA